AAAACAAAAAATGGCTAAGTTAAGATATTTGGGTCGGCAATTAGGGAGCCGTCCATTGATTTTGGCCAGGCGCAGTGGCGTAAAACAGGCTGTATTTGTGTGTGGGTGTTTGTGCCTTAATTTAAGCAAATCTAACGAAACTTTGGCTTTAATCCAGCAATTCAAAGTCCAGGCATGAACGACGTATATTTACTCACAAGTGGAATTTCTGCTCGAAGTGAAACAAAAACTAATAAAAATATATTGGACTCTGGCTGGGGTTAGGGTAAGGTAAGTTACGGCAAACAAAAGGATAAGAGCTGCTTGCCTTGCCTTGCCTTGCCTGAAATACAAAACGAACGAGCAATGATGAGGTCGAAACAAAAAGATTTAAGGCAAAATAAGGCCTTTAACTTATGCTTAGCTGCTCAGTTCATCTCTAGAGCAAGGAATGCGGTCGTATAATGAGTTTAGAAATCGACTTCGTCTGAAATCAGTTTTATATGCCGACCTGCCAAGCGTGCATAAATGCGTTTTATGAGCCTTTGGGGGGATTACTTATGGCTTCTCACCTGCCCTGAGGAGTAGAAAAAAAAGCAATGTTAAAACAAGCGCACAAAAGGATTTTCATGTACGCAACTTCAGTTTAGGCAAGAAAGATAAGCACATGCTTACATGCGCACAGACACATACCTAGATCACCGAAAATATAAATAGAAATCTTGTCACCTATTTTTTTGTTTTGTTGCTTATCATTTGAAAAAAGGTTGCTGCGCAATAAAAAACCAAAATCAGGAGGGAAGGACGAGCAGGCTTACAAAAGGATTTGCATGTTGACAGATTTAGCATCGCGATAAAATACGCGCAAAAATGTATATAAATATGCATGTATATAGAAACAATATAAATATTTATATAAATATATATATATATATATATATATATATATATATATATATATATATTCATATATATTGATGTCTTTGAGAACATTTCATGTTTATACGGCTTGCGCTCAGATTTCATGTACGACGTTTGGTTCACAAGTTTTGATATTTCTGAGTCAAAAGTTTAACTTGAACCACGATTCAGAGTTAATTTTTTTTTTGTTCTTATATATATTTGAATATGGATGACCATATAAGAATTTCAACAATAATTGCTGTGGCACACAAAGAGTTCGAGACATGTCTGAGTTTCTGATGTGCATTTAAAGCAACATTTTTATCATTATGCGAGGCACATCATTCCAACGGATACCTTGACTACGTTGGCAGTGCTTCCAGCGTAAAATCTAATTTTGAATGAGGCGTTTTTGCACTTCACAAAAGGTGTGTTAGTTTGCCTCAAAGAATATGATCGAGCAGCGCCAAACAGCTTAATTGCGGCGGTTAATTGATAAGAGCTCGTCGCACCGTGGAGCCATTTTTGAATGGCCAATGTGAAAATCAATTTGAAAGGGAATTCTTCAAGACTTAAATTAAGTATACGCCAGTAGTGTTGCCTTTAGAGTGAAGCCACACAGTTTTCTGCCAAACGTGAGATATGTACTTCTGGCGAAATACGTGTAATATAAATTTAGTTAGCAATACATTAATATTTGATGGTGGTACATAAACAAATTGTATTATGTTTTTCTTTAAATACGAAATATTTGAATATGTAATTAAAAATAAAGTAGATATTTTTATTTGACTCATTCATTCATGTTTGGTTTACAATATTCACAGTTGAATTCTGCGTATTAAAAACTGAAACAGAATTTTGGCAAATGTTTTCCTTAACTTTTTCCACACGACAGTTGAAAACATTTAATAATTAAATGCTAACAAAAATAGTATCACTCCTATTTTCCTCAACTTTATTGACTTTGTCTTAGTTTTCCATCAACTTGTTATTTCAGCGAAAATTAGTTTTTACATCAGCTGCAATCTGCTGATAGTAAAATTCATCTTTCAACATTTCTAAACAAAAAAAAATGTTTTTCTTAGTTTGTTTCAGAAAACTGCAAAGAAAGCATGACATAATACATGTCTCTGTCTCTTTCTCTGCCTCTCTCTTTCTCTTTGAAACGGAAACCAAGATTTAAAAACTTGGAAAAAGTTTTGCTTATTTCAGTTTTACTTGTGGCAAAGGGAAGACCGGAGTTTTTATGATGTCCGTTTATAAAAGCCACACGCCGGATGTGTTGCAGTAGGGACATAAAAATGCCCACTGCTCAGTGCTCAAATGCAGCCAGAGGCTGAGTTGTTGAGCCAACTGCAAATGAACTAACTCTATAAAAGATTTGAAATGGCTGAAATATGCCAACGCAGCAAATCAAATCTTCTCTGATTTAGCCAAAGGAACGTCAGTTAATGTGTCAAGGTGACATTTGACCTGACTACGCGTTGCCCTGTCCATTACCCGCCACCCGCGGCCCCCTGCTATGTTCTCCATTAACCGTTCTTCCTGGCCGGAACCAAGCTAAGACTTCCCTCCGCTCACTTTCTCAAGCAATCACATTAAGCGAATGCTACTCTCAGCTCTCAGTTGCTGCCAATGTTGCCTGTCTGCTGGTGTTACTCTGTCATTTTCATAAAATATTTAAATACAAAAAATGAGCAGTAACGGCTAACAGCAAAAAAAATCAAGTTACAAGTTTGCAACTTAACATTTTCTGACTGCATGATACACTCGACTTGGAGTGAAAATGTAGACTGTTTTTTTTTTTTGTTAGAAAATTTCATATTTCATATAGAATTGGGTAAAGTATTAATTTGTATATTTAAAATAATATTTAATTTAATATAGAAAGACAAAGAACTCAAAATCCAGATCTATATGCTTAAGTTTTTTTTAATCAATTATATTCATAAAATATTTATTTATATAATAATGAATAACAACACTTGGGACAGATATTTTTATGAGGTCGTTAGCTATGAAAATATATTTTTAGTTCATAATTATGTGATATTTAAATAGATAAAGAATGCAAAAATACTGTATGATGCAAATTGAAGCAAATATTTACACCAGCTTCACTCACTCTCACTCTCTCTTTCTTTCTGTCACTGTCTCTTTCTCTCTGTAGCCTATACTATCTATCTTTTTCAGCTTCTAACTCCCTTCCACACCCTCTCTCTCTCTCTCTTTGTCTTACACACACGTTGCCTGGCCCTCCTGCCCCACCTTGTGTGTCTAGATCACAATATATTCTACTCCAATCTCTCTCTCTCTCTCTGTCTATTTCTCTCTATCTATCTGCCTTCCTAATAAGTGTTGAGTGTAAAGCGAATATGCCCATTTTCCTTGGGGAACTGAGTATAAGCAGCAGCAGAAAGCTTCAGCTCTTTGTGTATATACTTATATAAGTGTATATATATATTTATTTATGTGTATATATATTTGTGTATATCTGTGGGGTGTGTGTAATGAAACAACTTAAACTCTGCAGCTGCCATTGTCATTGTCGTTTTTGTTGTAGTTGCTGGACACGTTGCTTCCACGCCATTTTGTCACCTAAATTCGCCTCCCTTGAGATGTTTTCTGCTAATGTGTGTTTTTTGTCCCTGTTTTGGTTGTTACTTCTGCTGCTTGTGCATTTCAATATCCTTAAGGTAAGAAGTTTAGCTGGAATTGTGGAGGTGCATAGAATATAAAAGACATTCGAATCTCTGACTAACTCTGGCTGATATATGGAAAGCAACATAGATGTGTATCGTTTATGTTTATTATATATAATCATGCATATATGTATATATTTCGTCCCACAATATTTATATTTACATCCATCTAAATCTTGAACTTGAACTGCTTGCGCTCCACGGGTATCCCTGACAGAGTAAAATTGCTTGCAGAAAAACTTTGCCAGTGCAATTTTCTTCGACAGAAAATATGCAAAAGCTGCGCAAAGTTTTCACAAATACATTTACCGCAAGCAATGCTTGTAGACAATGAAAAGCAGGTGCTAATTGGCACAGGCACTAATTAATAACACCTTGAAGTCTCAAGCAAATGCAAGCAACGTTCGCAATTCACAATAAACGTAACCAGAAGCCACAAAGTTAATGCAAATATTTAAATGTATATATTTTATATATATCCAATATATATATATATATGAAAATTGCTCCCATGTGTGCGACAGTTTTTTCTTTTGCAGGGAAAACATTGATATGTTTACAGTAATGGGCGGAGATAGAAAAAAGGGATAGGAAACGGAAATCGCTTACGGGAACTTGCTGATGGAAACTGTCAGGCAAGACTTTTGCGGCAGAAGCGCATTGATGGACGACTAAAAGGCTGACTAAACCATTGCCCAGCTTGACAGAATTGTTTCAATCAATCATAAAAGAAATTGCAAGAAATGCGAATGGACGAGCTACGCTTTCAGCGGTAGCAAGTTCTAAAGAAAATCGAGCTGTGAATACACTGATCAAATGATAAATGATTATGTCATTGAGGTAGAATGGGAATTATTATATCTATTTCTGCTATGCCGGTGTATAGCTAAAGAGAGTATGTATTTATAGGCAGCTTATATAAAAATATCTCATTTCGTTTAGGTTGCTGACAAGATGATTAAAGATTGTTTTATAAAAACGAGAATTCCGAAAGATACTGTTAGCATTCAACAAGTATATATTTCTTTACTCTAAATAATCAGGCCAAAGCCATATATATATTAAATGGCAAATCATTTTGCATATTTCTACAGCTTTATGTAATCGATAACTTAAGTGGCTGCTGAAATATAATTATCGGAAATAGTATCACTCTTGTTGTGTTAGCCTATATGTACACAGATATCGTAGTATTGATTCATTAGAATATAATATAACTACATTTTCTTTGCAACTTCAGCACAAATTTCATGTGAGTATACAAATATATAATATAGGCTTACATCTCAAGCATATATTGATTGACGTAGTCTCTCAAATCGATGCATTCTAACAAGGATGCCTAGACCTAGGGAAACTGTGGCTTGAGTTGCTTGAGTTGAGTGTGCCTCTGATAAGTTGACTTTTGGTTTTTCGTTTTCCACAATTAGGCAACTTTATTGGATCCCATTTGAAATGGGTTTTGGGTGGGGGACGGGGTACAAAAATAAAGAAGAGTAGAAAATTGATCAATATGATTTTATCATTTTGAATGCTATTGCAATTATTGCTATCGATTGACGGATACAGAGCCAATGCAAAAGTTGTGAACTATTGAAACATTCGTGTGTTAATTTGTTACGATTCTTGAATGTGTATTAGCGGTTCCATTGCTCCAACAGTCTGACAGCCGTCTGTATGTCGCCAGCGGACATCAGCAGGGCGCAGATGTTGCGCTGTCGATCTGTGTGACCCAATGTGCTCAGTTGGAGCAGCTGCGAGTGGAAGCGTTGTTCCCAGCGGCTATCGTTGCTGGACATGAAGTCAAAGAGATTGAGAGACGAAACGTTGGACGGTGCAGTAGTTGCTGCAGTGCCACCAGTAGCAGTTGAAGCTGCCTGTGCTGCAGCTTGTTCGGCGCTTAAAAAACGCTTTCGCACACGATTGTCCAGCTGACGGCGTGCGTTGTCCGCCAGCTCGTTCAGCTGTCGCGCATGCTCGAGCGTTTTGTTGAAGTCCCCCAGCTTGAGGGACTGCATCATGTGATCGCACTTCTGCGTTAGATCAGCCACCATACGCTCAGCGTTGAGAGCAAAGCTTTGGAGCGTTTCTGGCTTGGGCTGGATTCGCCAAGGATTGGGCAGCGGCATCCTATTCTCGCGCCCACGCTGCGGATTGTCTGTGCAGCTGCATGTGTCCGCATCCAGATAGTTCATTGCCACATTGTCCTCGTGTGCCTGGCGCATAAAGCAGTTGAGTTTGCCAAGCAGGCTATAGCCGCCTGGCACCCATTCCATGCGCATGATATGCATGTCGCGTTTGCGTCCCAGCTCCTGCACCTTGGCCGGATTGAAGATGGTGGAGAAGAGTTCACGCAAATTGCGATCACTGCTCAGAAAGTGGCGAAACGATGCATTCTCATCGATCATGGTCCTGATGCGTACATCCGACTGCAGCATATCGCGCAATGTGCAGGGATCCTCAAGCAGCGGCTTAAAGATGTCGCCGCTCTTCAAAACCCAATTTCGTGCGGTCGTCGGCGAAGACGACGACATGGCAGCTGAGCTGGCAGAGAAACTGCTGCTCTTGTTGCTGCTGCAGCTGTCGTTGCGGCTGTTGGCATTGTTGCAATCGTGATCGTCCGGAGTCTCCTTGGTGAGCTGGCGAAAGACCACATGCACCGTAACACCCGAGATAATGCCATGGCTATCGATGGTGCCCTCATCGCGCAACACCTGTCCGCCAAACACGAGCACAACAAAATCGATAGCTTGCTCGAAGCGTACCGCAACCAGAACACGCAAGTTGCTAATCAGCTCGTTCTGACGCACCGAGATGAGCGCCGAGCTGCTGCCCGTCTTGGCGGTTATATCGATGGTCTTACAGCACATGACCACGGCTTAGCTCGGATTCCACGACAGGAAAAAAAAACAAACGGCAGCAATCGTCTTTTTCAATTTGTTGTGTATTATTGTATATGACTAAATATGTTTTATTGTTGTAACTGCATGACAACTGGGACTCAGTTGTTGAATGCCGAATTGTGTGAGATGTGTGCGTTAAGAGCAAACGTTTGCTGCGGCTACTTTTGTTGCTTTTCCTGTTACTCCCATCCAAGGATAACTTTCAAACTATTCTAATATTTTTGCGAAACTAAAGATGCTAGCTTCTCGTGCCTTTTTTCTCTCAATCACGATGCGACACGACCTGAAAAGCAGTTCACAGGGAACTCGTTTGTCATTGGCAACTAAGGATATCTGGATAAATGGAAATCAATGCATTTTCACGACTATAATAGAATCTACTTTATATATAGTATTTTTTTAAAGCAGTTGAACTCAAGCTTTTCAGGGCTTTCAAGCTGAAAAGGAAGAAACTTCAAAATTTAATACAAAATATTAAAAATACTAAAAGCACAATATTTTTTAATTTTTAAGAATATTTCCTTTACTGAAATAACATGTGCTTATTCTTGTAATTAAACGGAACTTATAGCTTGCATATCTAGCTTAACACCTATTTAGCACATGTCTTAAATTAAAATTTTCTTAAAATTTCAACAGTCTAGGAAAAAGTCTGTTCACAAGATTCTAAGTCTACATTTTTTATTCTTTCAGCATCAAATAATCTACAAGTAAAAAGTTAAATTTCCCAATACTAAAACCATATTCAAACCTCGCACTCCTGCAGCATCTCAATGATATCTAATTATTTAGTCTAAAACAGCTTCAATAACTTAGCTGAATAGCATATCTCTAGACTATTTACATATTGTTAAAGAAAATACATTATTCAGTTAAAATTTAGCATTTTCAACAGTCGAAGCAACTTTCGCATACACAAATTTATCTATAACGAAACACATTTTTCTCTACTTCTCCTTTAGGTGCGCCGCAATGACTTGCCACTGTATACTAACAAGTTTATCAATAACAGCAATAAGAAGGCACTGGCAGTGCTCAGTTAGTCAGGGAAGCCAAGTCTAGAGCAGGACATGACAGCGAATCAATTGAATTCAATCAAATTGCCACAAACAACTGTCTACAGGCAGAGCGAGACGCAGGTGAATGCGGTGGTGGCAACGAAGTCGTAAACACGCTAACACGAGCAGCACCAGCAACAACAACTAGAGAAACAACAACCAGTAAAAAACCGCCAGAAAGGCGAAACATTAATGTAGCTACAAAATGGGCGCCAATTCGTCGACCAGATCCGACCCAAATCTGCACCAGGATGATGACGGTGAGCAAAACTATCAAGCTAACAAAACATTTACTACAAATTGTTATTAACTGCAAACTATGCTTGAGTTATCTTGAAACCGAAGTAAAAACACCTTTTCAAATAAAAAGAATTTAGCTTTTGATTTATATTGACTGGGGGCGGTTATGCGATAGTCTAAAGTCATGCAGAACAGCTGCAGAGGGACCCAAGTTATATCTAAGAGATTAGCCTACTTAGAAATCCACAGGCGGACAGACGAGCAAGGCTTCAGCGAACCACATGCTAATATTAATCAATAACACTGTTCAGCAAAAAACTTTTCTCTGAACGCCATATACAGAGCAATTTATGCTGAAAGCCTGGTTAGATGTAGATTTCCAAAAACTAAACTCACAGCTTCAAATAACACAATACATAGAAGTTATGACTGAGCACTGAATAAATCATTGTTGTGCAGTGTAATTTATATTTGTAAAGGGTTGAGCAGAAATCTTCTGCTTTGTGTTTCTCATTTCATTCAAAAATCATAATTGGCTGGAGAATATAAAATGGCTAAGGGGCCCAGGCCAAGGACGAGGCAGTGGCTTGAGCTATGAACTGAGTAGCTTTGGAATATAAATTCCAAAAAAATAGTATTTGCAACATAGACTCTCAGCACGTGCCGCAGAGCTTTTAAAATAGGGAGACGGCCATGGAGCATCTGGATGAGATTTGCCTGCAGCTGATACTGACGTATCTCCGTCTGCCCGATCAGCTGGCCATGCTGCAATGCGACGATCGTTGCTATTCGCTCTTGGGCAGCCTCTGGCGTCGTCACTTGACTAAAATTGAGCTAAATCTGCTTCAGGTACCGATCTGCGTAGAACTCTTTGAGTTCCTAATGCACAATAGCTGGCGAGAGCTGCGAGTGCTTAGGCTCAACTATGTGGATAAGGAGAAGTTTGAGGTGCTGGTCAAGCACAGGTTTCCCAAGCTCCATTTGCTCCAGATTGACGCGCTGCCTCCCTTTTTCCTCTGTCATCAAAAGCAGCAGCAACTGAAGCAGATCATGATGTTTAACAAATTCGAGGACAATGCCGCTAGCCCAGTGGAAGCATGTAGCGCAAATACAATAAATAAGACGTATTTTAACTAAGTAATTTAAACAACAAAGTAATATATTGTATCTTTGATTGACGGATAATAACTGGCGGGATAGCTGAACGAGTGATCTATTATTGATAGATTGACTTAATGATTGACTGATTTATTAAATGATTGACGAAGTGATTGGCTGATTAACTAGTTGACTAGTGAACGAGTGATTGGCTGATTGATTAACTGACTGATTGACAGACTGACTAATTGCTAGAATGATGCATTCATTGATTGATTGAGGCAATGATTGATTGACTTTTTAACTGACTAACTGATTGACTTATTGACTATCTGACTGACTGATTAGTAAGCTAATTGATTAACTATCTGATTTACTGATTGACTTACCGACTTACTATCGTTAACTAATTGACTAACTGTTTGATACTGATTAATCGATGATTAATCTACGATGCCAATCTAATTAGCAGCTTAACTAACTTTAACCAATTTAAAGAAAATTTCAAATATTTAAATACATTGACTAGGACACCCTTATACATTTTCGACCACAAATGGAAATTATTTTTAGCTTGTTAATACCAGCTTAAAAATTAATATACTTTTAGCAGATTAAGAAAATAATGCATAATTTTCCTTTCAGTTAACTTTGATCATTTTCAAATACTGCGCGCCATTGGCAAGGGCAGCTTTGGCAAGGTAAGTCGTTGTGTTGAAAGCGATTAAATGAATGTTCTACAGCTGTGTATGCTTTACAGGTGTGCATTGTACAGAAGCGGGATAGCGGTGTCCTTTATGCCATGAAATATGTAAGCCGTTCAGTGTGTGAATCGCGCGGAGCTTTGGGCGGGGTGATTAAGGAGGTGGAGCTTTTATCCTCATTGGAACATCCATTTCTAGTGAATTTATGGTTCTCTTTTCAGGGTAAGTGTTCACACACATACACACACTCACTCACATACAGTCGTATAGTTACATATGCAAATGTTGAGGCTCACCTGTAGAGCGAGCGCCACCGCCGCTGATTGCCAATCAAAATGCAAATTAACTACTCGTATGTGCATTTCTTTTGATGTCAGAGCACTCACTTGTTCCACATATCTATCTTCTTGAACTTTTGACTCCTTACACACATACTCATATATATGTGTATGCGGCTGAGGATTAACCAACACAGATGAGGAGGATTTATTCATGGTCTGCGACCTGTTGACGGGCGGTGATTTAAGATACCATTTACAGAACCGAGTAGGTTGATGCTATTGCTATTGCTGCTGCTGCTAAACGAAAACTTTACGTTGCTCAACCAACATATGTATTTCACATTATTCTCTAACACCTCGACAGGTGGAATTCTCCGAGCAGAGTGTGGCCTTATTAGTGTGCGAGCTAGGCAGTGCCCTGGAGTACCTGCAAACACATCGTGTGATCCACAGGGACATTAAGCCCGATAATATTCTATTGGATGATGCAGGTAAGTTTAACAAATAAGCAAGACAAACACACACACAAACACATTAACTCACACAGTCAACACGAACTTGGCAAGCAGTTTTTTGGCCAAGTTCAACAAAAGCCAAAAAGCATCCATAATTCATTACAATGTGTCCTACGTCCGTGCTCAAAAATTTATTGATTTCATGTGCAAGCAAAAGTTTTGTGCCCAGGCGAATACATGAGAGAAGCCTCAAATTATTCATATGCTATGCTATACTATGTTTGTATGTCTGCCTGTCCTGCCAGGCTAAACATTCATGCCACCTTCCTCCTAGCGGTTGCCACCTTCCATCTGACACTTGCCCCTTGGCTACTTAACATATCTTATTTATTTATCTAGAACGTATTTACATTTAAATTTATGACTAGACAAATTAATGTTTTTTATTTTGTTTGGATAAGGAATAAAGCGTGTTATACGTGTTATGAGATTAATTTAAGCTGCATTACATAATTTTCTATATTTAATATATACGGCGCGTCGTCTGTATAGAGCACTCTTCACATATATATTGTTGTATATTTTCTATATATTTCGAGCTATAGTTCTACAATTTTTTCTATTTAATTCTGCTTTATTTTCCTTAAAAATAAACCCAATTTGGGCTCTGAATATTTAAAAAAATTGTTTAAAAATTTTAAATAATTATTTATTGTGACCAAATAAGAGCAATAGTAAAAAAAAGTGTAATAAAAGCGAAAACATATAAAATACTATATTGTGGCTGACTTTACGTTCAAGTCATTGCGTGTAGGTATCAAATTTCATATATTTTTACCATATGTATTATATATCATCTAAGCTATACTAATTAGCTTTTATACATTCGTTACAAATTAAAAAATCACATTTTGATATCAAATTACATCATTAAAGCTAGAAATATATATAAAAAACGAAACCAAAATGAATTCAAATTAAAAAAAATTAAATGCAAATTTTATTAGAGAAAAAAAAACTCACCATAAAGAAGAATCCAAACTTAATTTATGCACAAAGCATATTTTATTTCTATAGATTTATGGTAAAAATAAATGGATTATTAAAATGCCTGAGTGAAATATTATATAAACATTAAAAATACTATATTAATTTGAAGGATTTTTCTTAATTGGCTAAATGAAATTTAAGAATTTAAAATGTTTCACATTTGCGCATTAATATGTGGGTTAATTGTTGTCAAAGGAATCTTTATTGTATCGTATGACATGGCATTTCATTCGCCCACTGACGAAATTATTCAATTTAATTAAATTTTAATTGTCACAAAAGATTCTTTTGAACAATAAAAAAATGAATTGCAATTTGCTATGCGAAAAGAGCGAGACTATTATAAGCGCTGAAAATATTCAATTCAATTAACATATAAAGTCACAAGCGTACACACACACCCACACACACCCACACACACCATTACAAAGTCATTATCGATGGTATATGGGTAATTGGAAACCAATTACGTGCACTTAATTGCAGGACACGCTCATTTGACTGATTTTAATATTGCAACGCGGTTGCAGAAGGACTCACTCGCCTGCAGTATGTCGGGCACGAAGCCATACATGGCGCCAGAGGTCTTTATGTGCGCTCTAGAAGAAGTTGGTAAGTGGCAAAACTCACTCAGAGCTCACTCAGAGCGGCACGATGGTATTTGAATGGGGTGTAATGGGCGACACGACAAATCAAATTTTTGCTGCTCTTGCAACAGTGAAAAATAAATAAAGATTATTCCAGCTGGGTGTAACGAACTGTGTAATACTCGCTTAAGGCTCTACATTGGAGCTGGCTTTATTTAATTTGAAAATACATATAGATGACCGATTAGAGCAATCAGAAAAAGCATGCCTCAGTCAAGCACTTGGGTTTAGCTAACTGCTTAATGCTCGCAAGTCGTTCGTTAAATTAAAACCTTCCAGCGTTTTCTCAACTTCACAAAAAGCGGGTACACTAAAAGCTGATATGCAAAGTTTCATGCTAACCAAAGTCTATATATGCCCGATTTAAGTTGTTGAATGAGTGAAAAAACAAGCTTAATTAAATGTTTCCGGTTCTTTGCTTAATCCAATTTGCAGCCGGATACAGCTATCCAGTGGATTGGTGGTCCTTGGGCGTTGTGGCCTATGAGATGAGGTCGAACACACGACCATTTGTGCTGCACTCGCACACGCCGCTGGTGGAGATTAAGAATGTGTTGAACAGCACCGTTCACTATCCGCATTACTGGAGTCACGAATTTATTGATCTACTGCAGAAGGTAAACTGCGTCCAGGCAAAACTCCAAATTTCAGATCCTGATTTAATTCTTACCTTTTAGCTACTCTGCGTACATCCGGGCGCACGGATCAGCACACAGCAGGAGCTGCATCAGACACCGTTGTTGCGGCCATGGGACTTCCAGCAGGTGCTGCAGAAGAGTATAAAGCCCGCATTCAAGCCACCTGAAGATCATCTCAATTGCGATCCCTGCTTGGAGCTGGAGGAGATGATTGTTGAGACACGGCCGTTGCACAAAAAGAAGAAGCGTCTGGCCAAACAGCGTTCCGCGCAACGCGACAGCGATCCCGAAACAGCGCTCATTAAGGAGTTCATTGTCTATAATCGCTTCAAGGAGCTCAAGCGCAAGGCCATGGAGCAAAAGGAAAGCGACTGGCAGCGCGAACTAGAGCTGGCCATGGCCAATTCAATTGTCAACAGCCTGGCACCCATACAGGAGAAGCCTACAACATCCCGTGCCACGCCCACGGCAACAGCTATCAACGCCTCTATGCGGTGCACCAGCTCGCCTCCTGACGGCCAGCCCAAAGAAAGTGATATCATTGAATTTATAGATCGCACACCATCGCCACAGGCGGCACAGGCGACGACCACGTCGCGCAGATTCTGCTGCAAGACGAACACAATACGGGAATAGAGAATGTAGATTCAATCCAATGCACCAACTAGTCCACAGGTTTCACACCTACCATAGCTAAAACACTCCTGCAGTTAATCCAGTTACAAAATTAGCATGAAGTTGGTCTCAAAAGTTTTCGATATTATTTCGAATATTAAAGATCAAAATAAATTCACTTCAATTAATAGACCAATTAAGACCAGCCTCATCGTACGTACACACATGTCTGAGCTACCGAAACCTTCTACAAGGATCAAATGAAATATTTTTCGAGCAAGCATATAAACTACATATATATACAAATAGTAACAATTTGTAATCACATGAAACAGAAACCGATGCCGATCTGCACCTTTGTATATACATATACTATATAATATTTTATAAATGTTGCAATTGCCTCCGTTTTCAACTGTATATATACACATATTAATATTATCTAATGTATTTCGATATACATATACACCTATTTTTAGATGTTAGCCGAAAATCAAAATAAATGGTAATGTCCCCTTACGAAGTCTTTTGCCTCTACACAAACATGAAAAGGATTAAAATATTTTTGTTAAATTACAATTCAAAAGCAGCGCCAATTCAATTTTTTTGTTTTTCATTTTTATTTCAAGTTATATTTCATTCATGTTTCACATAAGTTTGTTTTAATGCGTTTCTTTGTATAAAAAAGAGTAAATAATTACGGTTTGTATGTATAAATTTTTGCTTCTGTTTTTGTTTTTTCACAAATTTCTTGATCTTCATTGTTTGTTAAAATATATATAATAATTGTATGGGCATAGGTTTCGGTTGTGTTCGTGTGTATAAATGTATGTTTGGGGCAAACACTAACCAAAAAAAATTACAATAATCATATTTTATTGTTCGTTTTTGTTTGTTGTTTCTTTCAGCAAAAATGCAACATGTTAATAGTTTGTTAATTCAAATTTTTTCAATCCACAGTATTTTTTTTCTTGTTTTTAGTTATTTATATATTTTTTTGTATTTTTGTGGTTTTTTTCTGCAGAATTCACGAATATCAACATTTTATACACAGATCCCTCAGCCATAAAGCTATGCATCCTTCCCAGCGATAGCAGCTCAACTGTTCTCGAGGTCGCATGCAATCAGCTGCTGGTTGGGAATCCAGTGTTAAAGTTTAGAGAAAAATGTTAGAAAATCGTAAAATATTTAATATATATTTATATATATATAATCTTTTTATTCTTGTCGTTTGAGAAAGGACAAGTTAGTGAAGTAGGATTAATACCTAGCTTGAAATTATGATCCACTTGCAAAATGTAGATCGAGTATTTCATAAATATTTATGTTTTTGTTATTGTTTTCTTCATTGTGTTTAACGAATTCTTGTATTGTTTTTCTTTAAGCAAAAACAAATGCAATTGTTTAGAAAAGCGTCAGAGTTTTCTGTTAGGAAAAACGAATTGTTGCTGTCGCTTATTTTTTGTTGTATGTTAGAAAGAGAGAATGAGAAGAAGAAACTACAAGCTGAACATTGAAAATTGTTATGTGAAAAGTGTGTGGGTATGAGTTTTCCTTTTCATTTTTTTTGTTTTTTTTTTAGTTTGTATGTATGTTGGTGTGTGTGTGTGTATTTGTGTATGTGTGTGTGATCTTTGCCGATTCTGGAGCTCAATTCAGTTTGTGTTTGCTTTGTTTGTGTTACTTTTGTGTTGTGTCTAAACAAAATGTTACTCTTTTTCGTTGAACTCCACATGTGGCGCTGGCGGCGGACATCCGCCGTGGCCTTTTTGTGGCAGCGCTACCGAATTGGTCATACTATACTGTGGTTGTGTCCACAGACTCGATGCGTGAAGCGCCACCCTCGCCGACATTAGTAGCACTGCCGTCCTCGCCATTCACATTGGCATTGCCACCTTCACCAGCACTAGTATTGCCACCAGCATTCTTTTTGACGCCAAACTTAAGTAGCTCCACATTGACATTTATGGTTTTCGTTTGCATTGGAGCATTCGCACTCTCGGCTGGTGGCTCTTCGGCCCCCGCAGCCGGTGCTGATTCACCACCTCCGGTGGTGATGGTCAACGAGAGATCGTTTAGCGACTTGAGCACCTTGTCAACATCATCTTGGGTGCTCGGAGCGCCATTGCGATTGCCAAAGTGCAGGAAACACTTTCCAAAGTGACCTGTAAATCAAATTGAATAATTTAACATATTCATTGTATTGAGAATGTGTTGCTTGTTGCCAACGTACCCTTCCATGTAATCGACAATGGATTACATTCGCGTTTACGCAGCTCTGTCTTAAGATCCTTCACGCGAATGTCGCGTGTCAGGTTTGTCAATTTAACACAGAAATCACGATGCGGACGATTCTTCTTCTTGGGGCGACGTTCACCCGCACCCCCTTCATCAAATTTACGATCTTCACTCTTAACACCAACCTCGACTCCAGACTGGTCGCCCTCAGACTAAGATAAACGGTAAATTTATCAATAGTTTCGAGGAATTTGTTGAATTGTTATTTACCTTGTTTGTACGTCTGCGACGGTTGATAAAACGACCTTTACGGCGTGGCGTACGCTTCTGCCCATTGTCCTGTAGTTTAAATAAATATTTATATAAAAATAATCTGTTTAGACATAACTTATTTCGCAAACATACGCCTTGTTGTTCGTTGTCAGTCTGTGAGGTGGTGCGTCCTGGGTTTCCTCGTTGGAAGCGACGACGCAACGGTCCACGACGGCGTCTACTATTCTGATGCTGCTCAATATCGGTATCCTCCTCCTTCAATGTTATCTTCTTACCCGATTTCTCCAGTTGCTCCTTAAGTTGCTGCAGCACAGGCAAAATTTTCAAACGACGTTCAGACAACAGTTCCCAGAAAACACCACTTGGACGTGGCAAGCGCTTGGACACACGTATCACCTCGGTGGGTGTTACAATAATGTCCACTGGTGTATCGTATTTTTGGAACAAGTTAACGGGCAGCGTATCAACAACTTGCACGTCATGCACAATGGTTACAATTGCCGTTTCAGGCGTTATGACGCCCAACTCAATGAGCAAACCAATGTCCAAATCGGCAAAACCATTGCCACGTCCAATACGATAGCCATCCCGTGATACCACCACTGAACCAATGACAACCAAATCAAGCTTCAGATTGCTGTCCAGACCAATTTCCGAACGGAATTTTTGTATATCTTGGACGCGCAATGCTTCTTTTTTCTGATCATCGGTAGCATCGGCCGGCACATCGACTTTAAGGCAAAGCGCGGGCGAGTCCCGAGTACTGGGCAAATATACAGCTTTATTGGCCAACATAGACAATTCCTTAAAATCGTGCAAGGCGCGATCAATGTTCACTTTGATGTGCTCTATAAAAACGTATGCAGATTAAATAACTATATAGATTGTTCGGCTGGTAAAAAAAATAAGCATAACTTACGTGCTTTCTTAAACTCCTCCTCCTGAATGAGCAATGCAGCAGCCTTATCGGCATCAACGAACGCAGGAATACGGTTGAATATACCATTGAAGCCGATTCCAACTTTGCCCTCTTGAATTTTCTTCCAAGTTAGAACGCGCAGCGAGCGCTTTGTTGGCTCTGCGGGCTGAGCTGTTAATGAAACGCCTATATATTAGTTAGCTGATATTAACAAGTATTTATACGCTCAGTATAACCAATATGGGCTGCTTACTTTAAAAAATTAATATTTATCTAAGCAGTAGATAGAGGAGCTGCTTTGTTAACGTGACATTTAATTTGGGTTCCTACTATGAATAAACTCAGAACTTATATATATTTATACATGAATTGACTTTGCGTGCTGATATCGTTCATGGATGGCGTTCGGGGGGCTAAAAATAAACACAAACAAACGCGACTGCCGCGCTGGACTAGAGATTGTGACTGACAGAGAGCACAAAGCTGAGCGACCGCATGTTACATGAAGAAAGTGAGTGCAGCAAAATCTCGCATTACCGGCAACAACGGAATCATTTTGATTTGTCAGCAGTTGTTTTCTTATCACTGACCCATGATTAAAGCATGCCTGTTATCACATCAGGTTCATGTCGTACAACTATTTCAATAATAGCTGATAAACCGGTTTTCACGCCCAGAAAAAGATATTCGACGCACTTACTCATATAGAATAATAATTAATGGCACTATGTATAACTAAACAAAACAACTACAATTAACATTTGCTGTCGCCGCTCAAAAACAAATATATATATATACATATATAAAAAACCAGAAAATAAATGCATTCAAGATACATACATATACACAAGTATTTAAAATAAGACAATAATTAAAATTGCAAAGAGCAAAGCTAAAATTAAGTTCGTTGTACGTGTGTGCGTGTGTCCAAAACATTAAAAATATCGATATTGACGTATGACCAATAAGTTGGCAACTCTGTGGCAACTCACACATTTACCCACACACGCAGTCGCTCAGTTCCAAACATACACACATACACTCACACAGCATTTCTCAGCGATGAGCGCATCAAGACGCGCGAATTTTTCAATTAATATGTATGTAGTAGATGTATATGCAAAGTGTAGTTCTGTTGCTGCCTGCAGGAAGAGCAAGGGGACCGCAAACACATGCACACATACATACACACTCGTAGTTCGGCTAACTATGACATTAGCGCGAGAACGAATAAAATAAATAGAAAAGAATGAAAAATAGTCAAATGGGCCAAGAGCAGCCAAAATGATAGCCGAAATGATTCATTGCGTATTATTTTGGAGTTTAAAATTCTAATTGCAGCACTTGTAGCATTTTGAGCATAAAATTGCGCGCTACGATGACGTAATTAACAGGAGAAAACACAAAACTATATTGTTGAGCAACAAAATAAGAGCTCATACGAATATATGTATAAACGTTTATACGTATATGTATACGTACACTTCCCATACATACACATTTGTTAATTGTTGTTCTTTTTGCTGTACTTCTTTTTCGATTCTTTGCTCGTTTTGCTTTCCGTTTTACAGTTTTCTAGTAGAGAAGTGACAGACAGTGTGTCAGCTCGTATTTACCGCTATAATAGGTATAAAAAATATCAAAGAAATATGGCGGCAATTTGACAACTTTTGTCATTTGCTATAAGAAAAATGGCCGTACGAGAAAATATGTAGGCAAGCAGAACTGATCCTTTGCCCTTGTTCCACTTTTAATGTTTATAGGGGCAGAGCGCAAAGCACGATATTGCAAAAATATTTGGCCCGGCAAATAAATACTTAAATACATACACATTTATCGTATATGTACATGCGAATGACTAGCTCGCAAACAGAAAATTCTGTCCCTCACCCCGAAAACTTACTTGTCGATGATACCTCCGCGGCGGCGGCAGCGGCAACGGGAGCTTCGTTGCTTTGATTTTCCATCGTTTTTCGTTTATAAGTTGTGTACTTAAACTGTTCTTTCTTACTTTTTCTTTTTTTTAACAATTTATTTTTCTTTCACAAGTTTACACAAGTTACAGAGCAACGTCTACCTTCTCCGGCTGCTTCCAACAAACCACGTTTCTCACCCGATGAAATTGTATTATATCGATATTCTAATGTATCGACGATGTCTTTTCTTCACCATGCGCGAACGAATGCAATGTTTTTCAGTATATTTTTTAATTTTTTTTATGTTAAGAAACAAAAATGCGCAATCAAAACTTAATAAAAAAAAATATCAAAATTATAACCGGAACAATCAACCACTAACACGTATTGCAGTGTTATGAAAAACTAATTCAAATTCAATTCATTTCAGGTTGACAAAAATGTCAATGAGAAAATGTTTTTATGTGATTTAAGGTTATTTTGATCGATTTCTTTTTGTTAAGTAAATAAATGCTTTAAGTTTAATCATAGAACCTATGTGATAGGAAATTTTCTGTTTAATTCGATGTTATATGTTTCCCTTAATTGCCAATATTTGGGTATGTAGCTTAAATTTGAATAAAACTGTTATAAAAACAAAGTACGTTGAATGGCGGCAAATGTCGACGAAAATACAACGATTTAGATATACTGATAGATTTCTGTCAAAAAATACTCAAATTGTTGTGTGGTATTTCTTCACTGCTGGTATTTTAGTACAACAAAACAAAACAAAAAGAACCCTCGAGTAATGAGCAGCGTACCATGTACATTATGTCACAGCTGTTTTATAGTGTTTTACACAACGTGGAGCGCTCAGTTTCTGAAGCTTATTCTTTTTATTTTGAATTTCTTCAATTAAAAACCAGCCGGTGCTCGCTCGATGCACAACTCGAGGAATTATGTATTTTCCACTGGCAGACGCCTGCTCTGCGCAGCACGCTCAAGGCTCGCTAACGGATTTGCCATCGACGAATGTTCATTTCATCGAGCTGCAGTTCAGCTTTCGCGTAATAGGAAACATGAAACAAATGTATCGGCGCTTTTTAAGCCGGTGCAAGTGCAGGCCAATGTAGATGACGATGACGTGGGATCTGAGTTGGTAGGCAAACTGGAAAAGTCCGAATTGTTGAAGATTCTGAACAAATTTGCGCAACGTCGTGAAATCAAAACACTTTGCAGCGAGAATGGACTGGATTGTAAGTAGCAATAGGCGCCAGTCAAACATTCCTTTAATGTGTAGTCTCCTAGCTTATCTACAGCAGCAGGCCTTTGGCTCATTTCGGCGCTACTGCATTGAGGCTGAAAATCTTCCAGTTGACGTCCACATAACTTTCAGCGACATAATGCATGGGGCCGGCCACATTGACGACATCTTTCCCTACTTTTTGCGCCATGCGAAAACCATGTTTCCCCATCTCGACTGCATGGATGATTTGAAAAAGATATCTGATTTGCGCCAACCGGCAAATTGGTATACAAATGCCCGGGCCATAACACGCAAGATAGTTTTCCATGCCGGACCCACAAACTCTGGAAAAACATATCATGCGATGGAAAGGTATTTGAGCGCCAAGTCGGGTGTCTATTGTGGACCACTTAAGCTGCTCGCCACAGAGGTTTACAACAAGGCCAATGAACGTGGGACACCGTGTGATCTTGTTACTGGAGAGGAGCGCAAGTTTGGTATCAGTGAAAATTCGCCAGCAAATCATGTGGCCTGCACCGTTGAAATGACCTCAGTGAATACGCCTTGTAAGTACACGCAATCTATGCTTTACCACTCTCTAACTCCTTGTATTTGACCAGATGAAGTCGCTGTCATTGATGAAATACAACAGATACGTGATCAACAGCGTGGATGGGCTTGGACACGAGCCTTCCTGGGTCTGATTGCCGATGAGGTGCACGTCTGCGGGGAAGCAGGTGCTCTGGAGTTGCTGGAGAAGATATGTGAAACCACTGGCGAAACGGTCGAGGTCCGTCGATACGATCGCCTCACCGAGCTAACGGTTGAAAATTCAGCTCTGGGTTCTTTAGACAATGTTATGCCTGGAGATTGTATTGTTTGCTTTAGTAAACATGATATCTATACTGTTTCTCGAGAAATTGAAGCGCGGTAAATGTGTAACAAATCTGAATCTGAAATGCATTTCTTTAACTTGTGCACGAAAATCTTATAGTGGCAAGGAAGTTGCTGTTATCTATGGCGGTTTGCCACCGGGCACAAAACTCGCACAAGCTGCCAAGTTCAATGATCCTGCAAACAGCTGCAAAGTAATGGTGGCCACCGATGCTATAGGAATGGGCTTAAATCTGTAAGTGTCTAATTAGATATTTAAAATATTATATTAATGCAATTAATTGCAGAAGCATTCGTCGCATTATTTTCTACTCGTTGGTTAAGCCCACAATGAACGAACGTGGCGAACGTGAGATCGATACGATTTCTGTGTCTTCTGCCCTTCAAATAGCTGGTCGTGCTGGTCGCTATCGTACCGAATGGGAGCATGGCTATGTGACAGCCTTCAGATCTGAAGATTTGCAGACTCTGCAACGTATTCTAAGTCAGACGCCAGAACCTTTGAAAAAGGCTGGTCTCCATCCCACCGCTGATCAAATAGAGCTATACGCTTACCATTTGCCAAACTCATCATTGAGCAATCTGATGGATATATTTGTGAATCTCTGTACTGTTGATGATTCCCTTTACTTTATGTGCAATATCGAAGATTTCAAGTTCCTTGCAGAGATGATAAATCACGTACCGCTGCCACTGCGAGCACGTTATGTTTTCTGCTGTGCGCCCATCAATCGCAAGATGCCTTTTGTGTGTTCCATGTTCTTGAAGATCGCCCGGCAATATAGTCGCAATGAACCCATAACCTTTGATTTCATTAAAAGAAATTGTGGTTGGCCGTTTAAGCTGCCTAGAACTATATTGGATCTAGTCCATTTAGAATCCGTGTTCGACGTCATGGACTTGTATTTGTGGCTAAGGTGGGAGGGAATAAATTGATTTATTTGATTCAGTTCTTTAATGATTAGTATTTTCTTGCAGCTATCGATTTATGGATCTGTTTCCTGAGGCAGCCAACGTGCGCGAGGCCCAAAAAGAGCTCGATGAGATTATACAGCAGGGCGTTTTTCAGATAACTCGCCTGTTAAAGAACACAGAGGCTGGTCAGGAAAGCGAAACACCGAACTTCCAGATGCGTCGCATGACTCATATAAAGGAGCCACGACTGCCAAGCTCATCGCGTGGACGTCTAACGGAAAGACTCTTAGCGCAAGGTCTACTAACCCCTGGAATGCTCAGTGAGCTGCGTAAAGAGTGGGATGCACAGCAGCATACACAGCCACAGGCAATAGCCAGTTCGAAAGACACTCAGGACGTTGCCACAGACAGCGACGATGATGACAGTTATGCGGCAAATACAAAAAAGACTCGACGAAAGCGCAAAAAGTAGTAGACACAGTAGATGGATATAAAGTGTTAGGTAACATTGGTCGTCATTAGATCGACGTGTCTGTTGTTTGTTATCATTTTATTCTGTAAGTCACAATTATGTAATATTAAAATTATTATTTTAATAATCAACAATGACAATTTAATTGCTTTAAATTGAAAAATAGAAATTTGTAATCTATTCCAGGAAAATCCAATCACTTCATTCATTGTTTTTCTTTTCTTTCTTTTAATGGAGGGAGTTACTACAAAGAGTCTGAAGTACTTTACAAATAAACTTCAATTTATTTGCATGACTTTCCACTGATGTATCATAATAATAATAATAATAATAATAACAATAATAGATTCAAGTTACATGCACACATAGAAGCTTATATAATAAATATGTTTTTATAAAAATGACTTGACAAGTTTTAAGTGTGTTTGTTTTTCCCTTTCCTCCAAACATTTTGTGTCCAAAATTAAATATATATATATATATAACTGTATATATATATATAGTTTTAGATTAACTTTTTATATCGCAAAGTTTAGTAACAACGAACACATATTCAATTTGAATTTGTGATTATAAAATATTGGACATCAAAAACATACAGATTGTTAAAAAGATACAAATTTATATGTATATATGTGTGTATGTAATAAAATATTTAAACTAGTTTTTAAGGTTCTTAAGGTTTTTTGTTTGCATATGAGCAATTGTTGTACATAGTTTAATACTTGCTGTGACAATTAAAAAATCAATTTAGTACAGACATTCTTTAAAGCTTTCCATTTTCTTGCTATAGTTTAGATAGTTCCATTCCGCTTCACACAAACCCTTTAGCTATATAAGTATATAGAGTTTCTCTCTCTGCTAACATCAACAACATTAAATGTTGTTTTACATATATATATGTAGATATATATTCCAAGCAACCAGCATATAAATATGTGTTAAATGTTGCTGGGGTCAAATTTCTTATCAATATCAACTTCATCTGCTTCTCGCGTTCTCTTGCTCAGCTTCCGTTCGGTTTTACAATAGATTTTTGTTTGTGCGTATTTATTTAATTTGTATCCAAAGGTACGGGAATTTGTTTATTCATATAAAAAACTGGAACAATGCGTATGAATATTCTTGTTTCAAGAATTTTCTTGTTGCTTTTGTAATGTTTTATGCGTTGGCTACAATTGTTGTTGCTGTGTCTTTTTTATTTTTATTAATTTGCAGATCGTTAACCAGAACAGTCTGAAATTGGATATACAGACTTAGATAGCTGTGTGTATTAATAGCTGTAAAAGTTCTGTTTCCTATTTCTTGTTGGTATTTGCAGATGTTATGAGGCCCATTTCTTCGCCCATATCGCCTGGCAAAATGTTCTGGTTAAGCTGTTTAACAATTCTAAGTAAGGTATGTTATAATTTATACTTTCTTTCTTGTATTTTCTATTTATAATAATGTAATAAAAAAGTGCTAGTCCTGTTAGACCATCAAAACCTTTGCGGTTAAATTGAGTTGCAGAGAAATAGTAATTCCAAAAAATTGACATGCGAATGACATGTCGCGCCCTCAATGTTTCTTTGTTTTTCCTTTTATATCATATTCATTATCACAAACAATTATAAAGTTTAAATTTTTCCTTGGTTTTGTGTTATAGTAACAAGTTATGCTTATGCAGTTGCGTACAAAAATTTTAATATTCTAATTAATTGTTTTCGGTTTTTCTGTTTTTTTTTTTTCTCACACTTTATAATAAAAACGTGTGTTTGCCAAATTTGATTTGTTTCCAAATTACAAATACTTTTTTGATGCCCGCCCGTGGGCTCATATCTGGTCGAGCCAGATCTTCCAAAAAATACAATATGTAGTCCTTGGGGGAACACAAAGTTTCCGATCAGCGATCAAAATAATTTGGTTCTCCACTGCATTCCAAAAAAAAAGCTCCAATCGAAAAGTTAAAGTAAACCTTTCTACACAAAATCCAGCTCCAGGCCGGGCTCAATGTCGACTGCAACCGCGTTGTCTGCAGGGAATTGAGCCTCGTCGGACTCCTTACGCGTTTTATCCTTGGACCGGTCCTTGAACGCAGCAAAGCTCAATTTCTTGAACGCTTTACTGCTGCGTCCCGTGGACTGTCCCAACTGCTCGAATCAGGAATCCACCAGCACATGCCATCGCGCCAATATCTCACCTTTTGGCATTTCACAAACATCGGCCCAATGGGCGCACTCTTCCGGTCCGGATGAGTTTAGACCGAGGCTAAACCAACCGACCATCTCATTCTTCTTCATATGCCTTTTGGCATACACCGAGATCATGAGCGTGACATCGTTCAGCTGAAACAAAGCCACCTGGAAAGCAAAGGTCTCCTTGAATAGCGGATTGGGTCCACGACGTATGGACGTTTTGGCTCTTGAAATCTCCTGGCCAATGCTGCTGACCATGCACAGCTTCACATATGTATCCGGCGCCTTGTTCAGCGTCAGACTACGAAACTGACTGCCTTTGATGATCTCGACGCTGAGACGACCCGTCACTCCGTTGTAGCTCAGACCCAAAAGCAGCTCCGAAACGCCTCCGTGCTGCATGGAGGATGTGGACCCAGCACTGTCCGATCTGGCCAGACTCAGCAGATCACTGGTCGAACCCAAAAGCGAAGTTGTTACACGTGGCTCCAGCGGCAGCCACAGATTGGTCTCCAGCTCCAAATCGACGGTGGCAAAGCTCACATAAGCCTCGCCGATGAGACGCTCCTTGCGCAAACGTTCACATCCATACAGCCGCACACGCAGACCCATGTTGTTAACGTCCTCTGGATTGACACGATGCAGCAAAAAACTCTCCATATACTGCGGATTCTCGCCGCTGCGTATCTTGGTCTTGTGCTTTTGCTTCTTATTTGGCAGCATCAGCATGCGCACCTGAACGAAAAGAAGATATGATATTTGGTAATTTGATTAGGTTTTTCTGCTCACCTGTGTGTGCGTCTGCTGACCATTGGCCAAAGGCGGCAGACTTCTCGCCTGCATCACATGCACCGTCATTTTCCTCATTGGCGCATCGTACAGCAACGACATCTCCAGCTCAATGGGCCCTCGCGGAGCTGTGATCTTAGCATCACTGACCAGCATATCATCCGACTTGATCGAACGCAAGTCGCTGGTATCAAAAAGAGGTTCCTAGCCAAATGAAATGAAGAATATATATATATTTAATGAAAATACCTTAGAACTAATAAGGTTAAGCCTTAAACAAGTGATATCTGAGAAATTTTGATTTTGATTTTCGCCGTCTTTCTAGCTTCATGTTAAAATTAGACTATATCTTGGATCTTTTAGGAGTTAGTATTTGTTTTTTAATGTATACTTTTAAATATATGAGCAAACGTTCATTAGCATTTTATAATATTAAACATAGTTAGAAAGGTAAGAAGAATTGGGCTAAAACGAATTTTTTAGGATAAACTTGTAGATATAAGATAAGAGTAAAGAACCTAAGGAATATCAGACAACCAATATAACCAAAGAGCAAAGGGACTAAATAGTCAAAAGAATAGGTATCTATCTTACTCTGAACGAGGTTTTTCTAAAACGTTTTCTTTTTCAAATTATTTTCTTTACACTAAGGTCAAAAATTGATCAGTCCTATAAAATTGCTCTGAGCTTTGCTTACATCATCGTTGTTGTTGTTGTTGGTAGCTGTGTTGTTATTGTTGTTGCTGCTGTTGTTTTGATTGAAGTTATGATTAGTTGTGCTATTGTTGTTGTTGTTGTTGCTATTTAAACTAGTAGTAATTGGCACCACAACCACGCTATCTCTATCCTTCTCGGCTTTTTGTGGCTGCACATCGACCTTATGTTGATATTTTTGTGACTTGGCATAGGAGTGTCTCAGTGCCGATGCAGCCGGCACAGCTGCAAATGGAAAATGGAAAATGGTAAATGGAAAATGTATATATTATATATCTTATATCCACATCAATTAGAGTCACTTATGTAGCTGTTGTACCTCTGCTGTCGGCTGTCAAAATGCCCGTTTGGCTGTCGACAGATGCCTCGATGGAGTCATTGGAGCTGCACTCGCTATGTGATGACGGTATGCCGACCTTGCCCCGTTCAGCAATGGCCAAAGGGTCACGTGTCACTGTCACCCTCTGCAGGTCAGCCTGATGATAATTGAAACTTTGGCCGGTCAATGGATTCCGCTGATCAATGCCCATGCCATAGCCGACAAATTTGCCATTTGGCAATAGATTATTATTCTGCTGATGCCATCGCAGGCGTCGTAGCATATCCTCCTCCGAGTCGGAGCTGGTGTTCTCATAGCGACGTTTGCGTGCTAAGCGAGTATAATTTTGATGGTTAAATAAATATTTGAAATGCTCCAGCTAGTTACTTACTAATCTTCTGCACACATTTGGCTGCCAAATGTCGCTCGTCACAGCAGTTGATGCCATGGCGATGGTGAAAACAGCATCTGCGACTTATATATAAGAAAAGCAACAAAAGTAGCACCAAGACACCGAAAAATGCACCCAATAAGGTCGTGACCTCAACAGTACCTGCAACCAATTGGATTTATTAATTATTAATGGGGTAATTGAACTAGTTCTTACTATTTGAATTTTAAATCAGTCAAAACAAGTAAGAGTGCTGTGGTGGGGACAGCCAGACTGGGGGATATCGTGAACCCGGCGAGAACTGCTTTTCGAGCCATGCTATGTGTTATTTCATGTGTTCATGACGGACAGACGGCCTTGGAGGAAGAATATATATATTTTATGGGGTCTGTTTCGCGTCCATCTCTAAATTTCCTGCTCCACTGAGTTTAGGATGTAATAAAAATCATAACAAATTTAATGAATTCATAATATAGAAATAACATAATACAGAGAACTCCTTACTCGCAGCGATAGACAAGTCAGCCTTGCAAATTGATTAGCGTTAGAAGTTTGGAATGGTCTATAAAAGTCTGAAAGACCATTATTTAAAGCAGAGCTATGGTCCGACAATCTTCTAGGTAGCATAAATGAAGCTAATGACTTTTCTCTTTGTGTATTATATTATTTCTCCGCTGTGTATTATATTATATATATTAATATATGAAATATTTTTTAGTAATTTTTAAGTTGACGAGGAATAAGGACAACCCTTTCTGAACCATAGCTGCAAAACATAAAATTAGAGTAGAATGAATACTTCTAAGTCTTAAGCTTCAACTAAGTTGTCTATCATGCAACCATTAATCAAACGAAAATAATTAATCTTGTTAAATGCTTAATGAAAGCTTTTCTCGCTAAGTTCAATGAACATACATTAGAAAATTTCCCTAACCAATCGTGAGGCCACAAATTGACACTCTTCGACATATCCCACCGTACCCCACTCAGTTGCTCATTCGGTAAACAAATGAAAATTGACATTGACAAAACATACCCAATGTAGCAGTGCTATCCACACCAGATGTAACAATCATGTTGGTTGTTCATGCGTAGAGTCGTGTTTTTGTATTTCGTTTAACAATTCTTTAAATTAAACTCTATATTGCTTTTGTCGGAAATGGTATGCTTATGCTTAAATTGCGTTTTGATTACTATTGAACTAAATTACAAAAGCTCCACATATGACAGCACGCAGTGAAGCACGGTAAAAATTCAATCGATTTTTCACAGGACAATGACTATTTTGTTGACCGAGAGCTCGAAATGGGATGCATTTGAAAAAATATTATACTAATAACATATACTAATCGTAGTAATACAGTATTCAAAGTCTTTGTTTTTTAATACAATCTATTTACACAGTAAAAATTAATTAGTTTTGTAAAACTAAAATAAAATTTTTATTATTAAATGTTTTTGTGTGAAATATTCAACATTTTGTTGCACGTCCGGCACTGCCTGTAGCTAGTTTATTAATAATTATGCACTGGCTGTTCGAGCACTTGAAATATTTTTTAGTTGAATAGCAGCAAATAAAAGTGAAAGGATTCGAAAGCTTTCCCCCACATCCTGTGTGTGTACAAGTAACAGTGAAAGCTTGAGCTTAACAAATGTCATGTCAAAACAACTGTTGCTTTGTTACGAATCAAATACGATTATGTAAATTAAGAAATTACATATTTGGTTTTCAAAATTTATTTTTAAATAATAATAATAATATTAAAACAGATTTGAATTTATTTTTGGGTCATTCATATTTTTGAATTGGAGCGCAGTTCTGTTTTATATATCGATGTTAGTCCATCATGGCTTATCGATAGATTACGACCATCTCTAAGTCGATAGGATAACGTGTGTGTTACATTTCGTGTGTGTCCAACTAAAAACCAATTTAAAAGATGAAAAAATGGCAAAGAATAAATCGACGGTGTATTTAGGCTATGAAGATGAGGAAATTACGGCCAAGCAGGCTGCATTCCTCAATAGCTGTACAAATAAAATCGGTGGCACACCAGTAAGTACAAGAGATGAGCGATTTTCTAGCTCCTGTTAAAGGACTCATCCCAAGTATTTCATTGACAGTGAATTTTCTATGTAATTAAGAATGTATATATTTACGTATGATTTAGAAATGTATGTTATAACACAAAAAATATACATAAATATATCTAGTAGTAGAGCACTCCATTAATTGCATGTGACTTCTCGTTTGGCAAGTCCTTGTGAGCTGTTAAGCTAACAAAATCTATATACATATATACTTACATACATACAAACGTAGTCAGTCAATTGGTGAGAGACAGTACATAATTAAAATTGATTTTTTTCCAATAGAATTGGCCGAGACATGAAGTAACCGTGCCCGTGTGTCCGCTGTGCGGCATGGCACGTCCTTTGATCGTCCAAATGTATGCGCCCCTGGATCGCTCGCAGTTTCATCGCAATCTGTATGTATTTGCCTGTGTAAGCCCGGCCTGCTCGCAGAATCAGAAAAGCTGGGTGTGCGTGCGTACCCAGCATCTAGATAATCAGTTTGATATCATAACCGAGCAGTCACCCAAGTTGGTTAACAAGCAGAACAAGAAGAAGAACAAGTCAACTGCCTTGCCAAAGGTAAATTGGTGTAGCGGCGCAGATGACTGGGGCTGGGGCGAACCGGAAATCGTGGACGAGGCCATGGACCAGACGGCCGATGACGAGCAGAATGAGCGAAATGGCAATGTCAGACCAAATGGCCTACAATATGAGAAGCCCGATGAAGAATTCGAGATCTCAGGTACAGTGGCGCATGATGTCGGAACGAAGTTGGGCGATGATGACGATGACGATGAAAGTACCTCGGTTGAGAACGATTTGGTCTGTGGCTTTGGTCAAATCGACATGAATTCTCCTGAAAAAGCTGGTGAGGATCCGAATGCCAATTGTGCGGCAGCAGTTCTGCCAACGGCAAGTAACGATGGAGCTGGGGCAGGCGCAGGCGCTACAGCCATGATATGCGCTGAAATCGAGGGTCCAGAAACGGATGTCGTGCTTGTCGATACACCCAAGAAACCGGAACGGGATCTAATTGCACTGCTGAAGCATACTTCGTTGCCGGCCACGCTGGGGCCGTTGTCCCAGATCAAGGACCTAACCCTTAAGTCAATTTATATTGCTGTGGATGTCGAGACAAATGCAAAGCAAGATGAGTATGATAACTATGCTGGCTCACTTGCAATGGATCACATACGCGACTTATATCAAGAGTACAAGCTGCAGGATGAGAATCCTGCGCGTTCGCCAGTCGCCGGCGGTAGCGAGGCATGCGATGAGCAGGAGACGTACGAGAAGGCGCTGCCAGCCCATGGCGATGTGGTGTTCCACAATTTTATCACAACCATACAAGAAAATCCAGGCCAGTTGTTGAGGTATTTATAAAATAATCTAATTAAATTTGCCTCTTGTTTAACCAGACCTGTTGCAGATATTCTCGTGATGCCCATCCACTGCTGGTGGCACCGTTTAACGAGCCGCTGCCAAAGTGTCAAAATTGCAAGGGCGAAACTATCTGTGAGGTGCAGCTGTTGCCAACACTGATCCCAAAGCTGCGATTCCAACAGAACTCCTGCAATGCCCCAATTGAATATGGCAATGTGTTAGTTTTTACTTGCTTGAAGAGCTGCTGGGATACGCCCGATCAGATGCGCTACGAGCACGTTGTGGTTCAGTCCGAAACTTAGATCAACTCCAGTCAAAAAGATCAATTTATTTCAATTGCTAATTGCATTAGCTTAGAGAATGAAAAGCTAAGCTTTTTCACTTATCCTAGGATGATTTTATGCTCTAGTTGTTAAGAATGTTGTACGCTTTTAGAGAGCAAATGCCGAATTATCGCATAGTTGCTAACGACTCGTTATTTCCACTCACACTAAAAACTTTTAATTAGAGAAACGCTATGTAATTTGTTTTATTTACACAAAATCAAAATTAAGAGAGCGGCGCATCGGCATCCAGATGATAGCTCTTTACGGCGGAGAACCATAACGGCGGATACTTGGCGGCTGTTAAATCAAATTCAGAGCTTTGCTCCACCTTATTCCGCTGCTGCACCAACGTGTAGTTGGACCAAACCAGCTGCGCAAAACGTCGCTTGGGTGAGTTCATGATGCGTAGCTCAATCACATACTGCGTATTGGTACTGTCTTCCTCTCCGGGCATCAGACTACCACGACGATGTCGCTGTGCCGTGGTCCTGGCATGTTGTTGTGTCTTCTGCAACATCAGAGTTACAGTGCTGCCAAAGAGCCGATAACGACCGCGCATCACATCAGGACGTGTATGATAGAGTTGCTTTAGCTTGTTAACACCCTGCGCTGGTTCATCAGCACTTGTCATCATGAGCACTTTGCCATCGGGCAGAAAACGTATATAGCGATAGTATTCGACTAGCTGCAGCGGCCTGTAAAACTGATCCTGAAAACTATTCTCGCCCATGCGTAAGTAGGTGGTTTTGCTGATGTAGCAGCCATTGAATAGTACTCGATCGCGCCTTATAAACATATCCCGCCAGGTCTCGTAGCATGCACCACCGTCCTTCGCATCTAACGTGCCCACATTGTGGCCCCACACTCTGTCGAATAGGAAAGGTAAGTTAGCCATTGTCACAAGCATTAAATCTGTGTTTTCTTACTTGACGCAAGCCAATCGCCATAGCTCCTCGTCTCGCCCATACACATAGAAACCTTTGCAAACAGCTGAAAACTGTTCCAGGGAACGCATATCCAGCTGAGAGGATACCACCCAACGCAATATATTGATTAAAATCTCAGGTGGTAGATCGGAAATGTGCAAATTATTTCCCGTTGTTAAAACACTTGAATCGCGACTGTTTATAACGATTTTGCCTCCGTAGATTTCCTCACAGCAAAGATCACGCAGGAACTTCTCATACAAACCATCAATTGGCTCTACATCTTCTTTAGCCTCCTTGTCGGCCAAATCAAGTTGCTTAGCAAAATCACCGGGTAGATTATGATACTTTTTGTTGGCATCTACTATTAATTTTTGCTGCTCGTAAAATTTAAACTCAATATCAGGTACCATTTGGGTGGCTTTGCGGTAGTAGGCTAGAGCGTCATACACTTTGCCTCGCTGCTCCAACTCCACGGCTGTGCGATAGAGGGTCTCAGCCCTGGCTTGCGCTTCAATGTCATGAATGCCGGGCGGCTGATCTTTTGCCTGCGAGCATTCGTTTTGTCCGTGAAGCTCGCGCTGCCAGTTCACGCGAAATTCATCGAGCTCACGGCTTTGGTAACCGGAAGAAGCGTCCGGCTCGGTCACTTCCGACATTGGGCTCTTTGTGGTGAAATGCGTTTATTAGTAACTGCTTTCTATCTTATCTAATGCATAATCTAACCTGTAATTACGTTGTTTTTTTTTTGTCTAGAAATGTGTTCGCTCTAGCTCTATATCCAGTTCCATGTAAAAATCAAAAGCGTTAGACACTATTATGAATGGTCGTGCGTATTGTTGATAACGGCCGCACGCTTGTTTACCCATGGATTTTAAAATGATTTTTCGCTGCATGGACAATTTATCAGGCAGTCCAATTATTTGGCATAAGCCCCACCAGGCGAATATTTATAGTAAATATTTTGCTGCGCAATGTTTTTCTTTTAAAACTATCGATAACTCTTTTTTGATTGGTACCTACAATGATGACAATCACATGTAGTACATATATACAAAAATTGTACACTAGATCGTATGAAATGGTACATATATTTCTACGGAATTCTTTTTATTAATTGTTAAGTCGCTACATAAAAGGGGTTAGCTAACTATAAATAAAAGGATATTAGAACATTATTTATTAACATTTTTGAAGATCACATATAATAAAAATTGTACTCGGATGTATATAGTTGCATACTATATATTTTGTGGTACAGCTTTTCAAACGTTTCTCAACACTAAAATATCGATTTATCGATATTATTGTGGGAGTTCGGGCTCAATGTGGCCGGTTAGTTTGTTTATATTTTGCCTGTTGGTCTTTAATAAAAGCTGATCGAGATTGTTAAACAGAATAAGCATGTCTGCTGACTATGCACACCTGTGCTCATCTATACTGGAGCAATGCTTTGGCAAAGTTGTACAGTCCGTGGCGGATTGCCTCTTCTCAGCTACCACGCGCACACTGTCACAAATTGTGAGCAGCACGAATTTCTCTCGTAAGGAAGTGGTGCTCGCTGTGGCGGTTCTGATCAAATTTCGTCTGGTCAACTTTGAGCCATCCAAGAACAACCCATTTCTGGCCGAATATTCGCTGAGGCGGGAAGATGTGATATGCCTGCTTCGATACTCCCGGTTCGTTGGCTAAATATATATATTATATTTGAATTATATATAACTAATCGAGTCATGTATTTTAGCTATATTCATCTTGTACAGACGAAGTACGGGAATGTAGGTGCTTCAATAGCGGAGGAGCTGCTCAATGCGGGCTCGGAAACGGCAACCGGCTTATTGCTCAAATGTTTATCTGACGGTGAAAACAAGGCGGAGAGTGCCGAAACTTATAGAGATACATTTATCAAAATGATATCCGATCATTACATCATTAAAATTCCGGAACTGATGCCAGGCGATGAGCAGGATGAGGCTGTGCCCAAGTTCCAGAAAAACGAATGTGGCTTCTTTGTGCCACCCAACATAGATCTACAGTTGTTGGCGCAGATCCAAAAAGGCGAGGCGACTCTATCGAAGGCATTGGATGGGGCCATCGTGTGGAGCCTTAACTATGATCGGTTCCATCAAGAGTTCCGGGATGACATCATGAAGCTTGCCATTGAGCGAAAGTTGGGAGAAAACGCCGCTGAATGCTTTAGTTTTATCTTAAACCTCATATATAATACCACCGATCCGTGGCAGAGAGTAAGATTTGAATGCATGCCAAAGTATTCTTATTAAAAATCCTTTATCATTTACAGAAAGCTTCAAACTTGGTCACATTTGTGGAGATAAAACAAGCGATTGAGCGTAAATCGAATAATATGGAATTGATTAAATATTTGGATCAGTATATATGCTTGATAAGTAAACAAATCCATAATAACTTTTAATGTTTCTCTATAAGAACTAACATTTTTTTCAGTGGATGACTCTCTTGGCTTTCTCCGCAAAGTGGGCGACATGGGTGGTGGTCAGTATTTGGTGGACATGGAGAAGACATTCGAATCGTTGGCCTTTGCTTGTGTGGAGGCTGTTATAACCGAACGATTCGGCTCGAAAGCTGCGCGTATATTTCGTGTGATACGCGTTAAGAAATTCATCGAACAGGAAGATCTACAAAAGGAGGCTATGATACCAGCAAAGGAGGCCAAGTCCCTTGCCTATAATCTCTTTCAGGAACAATTCATACATGTTAAAGTTATCAAGAAGCCCGGCGGAGGAGGGAGTGGTCCGGCCAAGGCATTCTACCTATTTCAAATCAAAGATAAAGATGTATGCAAATACTTTCATTGAAGTCAAACATTAGTTTATATCGAACACTCCATTGTAGACTGTGCGAATGTTGCTGGACAATTGCTTCAAGTCCTTGTACAATACGATAAGACGTTCTAACTATGAGAAAAATGAGCATAAAGGGTTGATTGAGAAATCGCAAAGGCTGGACAGCATAGTGGAGGCGATGAAGGAGCGTGGCGAATCGGACGAATATATTGCGGAGGTAACTGACTCTTCTAAATTGTTTTAAACTCAATTCATTTGTTGGTGCTTCTTTTTTTGTAGATTGTGGAGACGTTTACACCACCCGAATGTGAAATACTAAATAAAGTTAAGAACCGCATAAAGACCTTGTCCAAAGCCGAAATGACACTGGACGATACGATTTTTCTATTACAAATGTATCAGCACCACTGTACGACACTGCCAACAGGAATTCAGAAGTTTAAATAAAAATCAAAATAAAACAAATGTTTTCAAATTATATTTAAAGTTGCAATGTTGTAATCTAGCATGGACATCAACCTTTACATATAAATGTATAATTATATCGTAAAGTGTTGCTGCCTTACGATATTCATGATTTGCCGATGTGTACGATAACAAGCATGTCTACAATTTGTACCTTTAGTCCTTTTGTTCTAATTTAGCATGGACTCCTACCTTTGCATAGTCTCCACGTATATTTTGCACTGTGTAGCTTAGAATTTGAAAACCTGTATTTATTTCCCTTACGATATTTATTTGATTTTAGTTCTTATTGTGTTCATGTTTTTTAGCTTTTGTTTGTGTACGAAACTGCCTTAAGCTATCTGGCAGCACAATAAAAACTGGCTGGCAATGATTAATTAATTTAAATTTGAATTTGAAAATTTGAGAAAGCAATATTTAGTAGTGCAATAATTAAATAAATAAAAATAAATTGTGAAAAATGCCAATTTATTTGTTTATTTTAGTGTATATTTTTTATATATATTTATAAAATTATATTTTGTTAGATATATTTTGCTCATTAATTCTTAATGGTATTTATGTATAGTGTTTCATGCGGAACACAAAAAAAATATATATAACATTATTTTATTAACCAATTTCTCAAATTCATTTACAGCATGTTTTATAAAAATCTGATTAAAAATGTTAAACTGTGTAAATAATAAATTTTAAGTCTGAAATCGGAAACTATCGAAAGCCTATCTTTCTTTTTTCTAAGACTAACCCTTCCCAATTGTCAACGATCATTTGATTTACTATATTTTTACATATGAACTCTGACTTGAGCCCCGTTTTGATATGGGCCGCATGCGAATGCTGCTGTCCGCTCGGCGCAAATTGCTGACTGGAAGGCAAGAATAGCAATAAAAGCGTAAATTAATTAACAATATCGTATTTCCATATGCTTCACAGCAACCGACCGAGCGGGCAAGCGAATGGGAGACCGGGCGACCGGGCGAGCGAATGGGAGACCGGGCGACCGGGCGAGCGAATGGGAGACCGGGCGACCGGGCGACCGAGCGAGTCAGGCAATGTCAAAACACCCAGCCACACGCTTTGGCACACGCCCCCTCAGAGTCGACGCCCATTCGCACACCCCACGTTTATTTGCATAAGTAGCTCAGCTTTGCCTGGCACCGGCAAAAAGTCGCACAAGCAAAAGGCGAGCGAGTTGTAGTCAGGCAGCTAAAACACATATTTTTTCTTGTTTTGTTTTTACATATGTCTGCGGATGAAAAGAAATTTGTTGGGCGCAAGGAGTTCCACTAGCTGAATGATGTGCTTCATAATAGAATCAGCTAACCAGATCCTTAAGCAAACCGAGCAAAGCCTATCGCTTCCCTGCTTGGTCTGCCACAGCAGATATATTTGCTTTCAGACAGTTTTATCTGGCGGGCAGAAGTCAAAGCATATGTCATATTTAACGCACTCTGACTGGCAAATGCGCGTGTAGCCAGGGCCAAGCGGACAGGTGTACAGATTGATGCTCGATTCCGAGAAGCATTATTAACAAAGTTTGCAGCCAGACATTGGCAGCAAACCACTGTGGCTGGGTTTTATGTTAATCACGGCGCACGTCGAATGGTTTGGGCGAAATTCAACATTTGACAAATTGCCCACAAAGAACGAGAGCTTGAGCAGCAGACTCTCTGTGTGTATGTGTGTGTGTGTGTGTGTGTATGGGTGGGTGGGGGTGGTGTGTGATTTATGTGGATGTGAGAGCATGACTTTGGGGTTTGATGTTAACCTTCGGCGATAAAGGCGGAGGTAATTAGACGCTGCCATTGCATAGCTGCTTTTCCTTTCTCTAGAAGCCAGATATGTGATTTTTAGCACGTACAAACGTGTGGCAACCTAATTAAAATTGAAAAAAAGATGAAGAAAAATTATATAAAAAAATGGAGTCCAAGTCCTTGACACGAAATGCCTAGCCCGGCTCGCTAGCTACTCATCTAATGCGTCACACAAAGTCAAATTCGTGGCAGCCCAAAGCCAAATGCCACTCAAACCATTCAGCCACGAACGTAACTCGCATCCAAGAGCGGGCGAGGCAGAGCGATGCATACGGGGCAGCCGCCCGAATGCTGCGTGGCAGCATGGCAGCGTGGCAGCATGGCATCATGTCGCATGCCTCATTCTATGGGGTAGCTGCTATGCCGTGCCATGCCATGCGTCTCCGTTGTTCTTATGTGCGGGCTGCATTAATAGGGCTCTTTCATCGCGACGAGCCAACGACGAACGCCTGCATATGCAGCGCGCACACACAGTTTCCATTCAGTAGGTGTTTTGTCGGTGTAAAGTGCCCACTTTTTCCCTCAACTAAAAGACGTTAATTGCATTCGGGCTGGACGTCAAAGTCAGCTGGCTGCAGACAGACTACGCTCTGACAGAGAAAACTACGCCTGGAATTCCCAGCAATGTCAGCTACGATTTTATTACAAAATAACTCGCGTACAATATCTAACCAGAGAGACCATCCATTCAAATGTGTGCGATATCAGCCTGAGGCTAAGGATCTAAGTTGCATAAAAGTATGCTCAAATTAGCAAATGTTAAGAAACTTTATAGTTCTTTAGATAATACAATTAATTATAGTTCCTTTTCATGATCTATGATACAAAAATTGATTACAAATTGCAATTGATATGAAACTAATCACAGTAGTTGTATATGCATAAGACTATATATAGTTATATAGTCGCTTCTTCTGGTCATGAAACCTTTAAGTCTTTGCTTTTCGCTTTTCTCAATCAGCTTACATAAAAAACTTGTTGTCAATCATGTGGAGGTCAAAACTAACTCAATAAAAATATAAAAAATTGTAAAACAAACTGAACTCTCCGATTGTTATTGATAGTTGATAATTGATATTGATAGATATTGATATTTAGGCTCTGCTTGTATGAAAATATATTCCAAATTAGAATTCTCTAAGCTAAAACGTTTGTTTTGTTTAAGAATATAGTTCAAAGTCAGCTCAACCTCTCAGTTTATATATACATAAAACAAAGCATCTGCCAAAGAGAACTTTTGGTTTTTTGCCTGAAGCGATGGCATATCAAATGATAGTTTCAGTGCTTCCAATACTTTATCCAAATAATTGCTGCGCTTATGTATTTCAGCAAGGGTCGAAGCTCAAGTTTCAAGTCTCTTACTTCTGTCAGCGCACTGACTTGCAGAGGAACACGTGGTAAGCCAATATAATAGCTAGTATATTCGATTCACTCTGTGGCCACGTATAAAAATCAGTTTACAAAAATAGGATAAACTTAATAAGCATAAGCAATACAACTTTTGAAAAAGGTCAGAGCAATGTTAAATAGTTGAAGAATTAAAATAAATTTAGAAATCAATCAATAAGAAAACATTAGCAACTCAGAGTAAACTCAACAAGTCAGAACTAAATTTAAGCTAAGATTTGTATCACATATCAAGTAAGCAAACTTGTGCAAGCTTGTGTTCTATATTGCGCCTTGTATACTTCAGTCATAAAAGCTACATAGTCGAAATAATATTTAAACATTAATGTCATAAAATAATCTATTCAGCAAAGCTTGTTTTGCTGACATAAAACGTAGATTTCTTAACTTTATTGAAATTTAAAATTTTATAACTCTAAAAAAATCAACCTATATTATATAAAAAACAACTTTTTAAGTATTTTAATTAATGCAAAAATAAATATAGTTTTTATTAAAATTTCAGCACATTTTAATAAACTAATAACATAATTATATATGCTTGCTTAATAATACTTGCAATCTGATCACTTGGCAACTCTCAAATTCTATTTCTCGTTGTTCAATGGCTGCAATGGCTGGACCACTTAGACAACTCATCTATCAAGGACTCCCACGTAGTTTTTTTATTTGACTTGTGTATGAAAAAGAAGCGGAAGGGCGCAGGTCTGCCTAAGCCGCATTAAAACAGTGCAAGCCTTGCCCGGGTCAGAGCTGAAATAAAAATAATAATATATCTTAATAAGTGCTCTTACAGAATGCACACTCGATGTCCACATTTACATACAGACAGACATACGTACGTATTGATATCTATATGTGTATATATTTGTAGCATTCAATCTATCAAGTACAAATTGGTTTTTGAGTTCACGTAGCTTTTTGGATAGCTGAACCGAGCCATCGTTGTCGTACCCATTGCCGTTTGTCTGCTGCTCTCTGATACTCGACGCGCATTGTAGTTAGGTGGTTGCCCACTCCCACGATTACAATCAATATAAATCACATTTACCCAAAGCGAAAATGTTTTCTACTTCAGTGGAGAAGCCAAAAAATTCATACGCAACAGGGGAATTTGCTGCTTTTATTATTTTTTTTTTATCTTCTTCCTCATTTTTACATACATATCCGCATGGCTATGTATGTATTTACTACAACCTATAACTGCAGATAGACGCGAGCGAGTGCTCCCAGTATTGTGGCTGCCACCACCACCTACACAGCTGGCGACTTCTGCCTCCTATTGAGCACGTCTATTTTTTTCCATTTGGCCAAGAAAAAAAACAGCAGGAAAAAAATAGAATAAAAAGGGCAACGAGGCAGGCGAATATGCAACAAATTCTCATTCAAAACACGCACGCAAATTTCTCCAATTCGCATACATGGATGGCAAAAGGCGAAACTGAGACCGTGACTGGGTGGCGAGCAGGGGGAACTGAAACCGAAACCGAAACCGAAACCTAAGTGTAATAGAATGAGGATCGAAAATGTACAACAAAGGATGGCATAATAATAAAAAATTTAAGATGTGTAAAAAACATAAAAAGAAAATTCATTTGCGCCAAATTTGTGGATTTCACCTTAATCTTTGGTCCCAGCCCCCATCGAGCAAACAATGTATGCGAAAATCGATGTAGCACTCAAATGAGTGGATTCTAGGCTAACCGGGCAAGGGTTTAGCCCCAGTCGTTCCTTTTTATAGGTTTGTGGTGAAAGCGCCACGCTTAAAACTCGCAT